TTGGAAAACCGATTGACGAAGGTTGATGAAACGGGCGATTGCCAAGGGTGCAGCGAAGCAAGGGAGTAGTGCATTTGAGTTAAATTTTTTGTATAAAATAAACGCCAAAATAATATTCGTTAAGGGCGCGACGGAGGGTAGTTATGCTACTGTATACTGCTGCTACGCGAAAACCGTACATCGATCCCATGCATCCCTTGCGTTAATATGCCACCTCAGGTATTCGTATTCGATAAATTTTGTACGTACGGTATAGCGCTTAGAATGTTTCGGGAACCTCGAACCCGCAGCGTGACGATGACACGCGACGGTCAACTCGATTTTATTTAACGAGTACGCATTCGGATTTTATCAGCTCAACAGCAGTTATTCATTGCCGGAGACTTATGGCGTGCGCGGCGTTATTTTACGCACCATCCAAGTTTCCAAGACAATTCCGCCGCAGACCGTACCATTCGATAAACGTGTCTAAGAGACGGATAAATCATACAGCTGCAGCGATCTAGTCTCGCGCAGAACTATTATGTTTACCGTTCGCATAATACGTTCATAATATCATGACCCAGTGGCAGGTTTACAAATATCTACCCCCCCCCCCCCCTCCCCCAAAAATATCTTCCCTCCACCCAAACAATTAATTAATGATTATCTTTTCGGCTGATTTCGGGACCGATAAAAAGTTCTAAAGAACTAAATACCTGCACGTATACTACTATTGTGGCAGCTGAACTCTAATCGAAGACCCGACACGATGGGACCGTGCACGTTTTAATTACACGAGTATTCGTTGTAAACGTAAGAACAAACGGAAAAAACAGAATCGCGCGAGGTCTTTTGCGATTAACTAGGTCCGCGGATGTTCTTAAACCGACTGCGAACGAGTACCGAAAAAATAAAAACGTCTGTTTTAGAACACAAAAAGTGTTCTTCAGCACGTGATTTTGATGTTGCCGCAAACTGCCAACTAACAAAATACCGCCAATGAAACGAAATAATTCTTAAGTTTATTTTGAACTGCGTTTCACCCATCACTCGTACGCCCGAAGGGCGTGCGAGTTCCAGTCGACCGAAAATTAAATATCCTGCGACAAACGACACGTTACGGTTTACTTACCACTGCTCCTGCTGCTGCTTCGCTCCAGGTATGCGCTGACGTGGTGCACCTGTTGCCGGAACTGAAAGCACACCGGCCGCAAACCAAGTGTTTAAATACAATTATCGCGTCGTGTCACGTGTACACACGCGCGCCGGCGAAAAGACGTGCGTCGCCGAATCCTCCGAGGGTGGCGCACGAAAGCGTTGTACACACGTGCGCCGAATGTTTACCGTTCGTTCCGCGGCACGGGAAAGGGTATGGCGTTACCGAGAGCGAACGTCCGTACGGCGTGGCGCTCGACGACCGTGTGGCGGCGGCCCCGTACGTGTTCCCCTCGGCTGAGCGGAACGCGCCCGGGCTGTCCTGATGCCACCCGCGTCCCACACGTCCCTCGCGCCCGCTACGATATCGCTAGACTTGTGTACACGTTTACACGTTAAGGTACGGTTTCCAAACTGCGGCTGGTATTTATTTTCAGTTAAGTACGGTAAGATATTTCGTGGTGCACACGTGTATTTTTTGATTTTTTTTTTTTTGATTCGTCATTACAAATAACCAAAAACTGAACAAATTATTATAAATGATAACAAAATAACCATGAATTTATTATAAAATTAAGTAGAAGAAATAATGTATGTATAGGATTTTTTCGACTAACAGCTCATCATCGGTTGTCAGTGAAGAGAGTTTTCGATTTAATTAATTTTTCAGTGGTGAGTGTGGTTGGTGCAAACCATTCATTAAAATGACTCGGAGAAGGGTAGTAGAAATAAAGGTACACGAAGGCGGTAAAATAATAGTACTAATAAAAATGTATATTAACAGATACTCGACGGAGTAATAATAATAATTGAAAAAAAGTAGTAAGTTCGACGGAACACAGATAAAAAAATCGCACAATAGGAAAAAATGGCAGTCGCGAATACGATAGACAAAATATAACGTCGTCAGACTCGGTCGACGGATAGGTAGCAAAGCTCGATCGAGCGATCGCCGCAACCGTCGACGTCCGAACAGGCAAGGTTTACAAATATAATAATACACAAGAAACATAAATTTAACAATTGACAATGATAATAATAAAATCTACAATACGGGGTATTAGATTAAGGGGTGTCCCCACAATTTTTTTATTAAAATATTTAATACATTCGTTCAGCATAAAATTGCGATTCGATTCACGCAATACACTGCTTCAAATACAACGGCTATTGTTGACATGCGCTAGTCGATCGGACGTTGGAAACCACGATGAGGCATTTACTTATAGAACAGTCAATCACGCAGTCAGTGCGGCTAGTCGCAGCTTGGAAACCGTATCTTTACGTCTGCGGTTATCGAGTCGAAAGAAGAAAAAAAAAATTAAAATATGAGGTCGATTCGGTGACGGCGTCATTACAATACGTGTTCTTTGGATATCAGAACGGTCGATCGTTTGTTTCAAATCGCCCCCCCCCCTCTGGTCCGACGAATGCTTTCGACCATTTCGTAAATCGTATCGTTTCGCGTCCTCTCGCATACAAGATCTTACGTACATTTCCGACAGCCCTAAGCTTTCAAATGACACGCAGCAGCCGTTACAATAATTACTGTCGTTTCGGCAGTGAAATTTTAGTGATCTCACGAGGAACACTAACAATCTTTGGCACGACGGAGTATTCACGATCATTTACACACAAATCGAGTGGACGGGAAAAACGTATAAAGGGCTAAACTCCTTCAGAATGTATACGATGATTGCAGTACATATACGAAAACAAGTATGGGGTGTGTATCACCGATGAGGTTCGGTTACGACTATGATCGTTTTATTAATATATTTTATTTTTTCGTTTTAACAAAATGCGTATTGCTGCTAGTTATTTAAGGACAGATTATGTTGAATCTGACGCGAATCCTGATCGTAATCCGAGAAAGAAGAGCTGTAAAACAATCTTTACTCAACAAAAAAGAAAAAAGTATTGGTGCAAAAAACGTTTCAATTCGATTCGCACGACGCGTAGCATAGCGCTCAACCGATTTCAGACCCGATAATCGTGTGCAACAACGCTGGTGAACAACAAAACGAAAAATAATACGTTTCATCGGATCTACCGTGATTTATCATTTTGTATTCATTTTTCCCGACACGAGAAATGCGCGAGATATTCGCTGGTTCAGGAGCGGTTGTCTTTAACGCATCGCTTCACACACCGTCAGGTATACCTGCGGGTCATAACGTAATATATTATAAAACATGCATAACTGTACATTACGTGTACCGCATTGCTATAGACTTTTGTGGTGTTAAACGGTTTGCCACGCGTTAATACTATACAGCAGACGCGACATCGGCGCTCTCGTACGCGATTTTCGCTCTTTTTTCGGTGATGTGCTGGCGCGCAATACACGACAATAACGTATCGGTTGGCGAACAACAATACGAGTAGAAACTATTAGTCCGAATATCGAACGCGATAACCGAAAACAGATATTGATACATGTATACGCGCACGTACGTGTATTATGCGTATTGCCGTTTGATTGGACGCACTTCTATTGCAATCATTATCGTGCGATCGCAAACCCGTCGACCGATCGATCTTTAGACATCGCTGGTTTTAAAAATTGATCATAGCATTATAAACTTATAAATCTGATGGTTTCTTTGTCTTTTTTATACACAAAAATTCAATCTAAATGATATGCACAGATACTCAAGCTGATTTAACCAGCTTCGCCCGGGTTAGTTTTCAATTATTTCTAATTATTATATTACTGTTTTCATTTTTTTTTTAAGTACAAACATTTATAATTTCAATTCAACTAAGTGATAATCGGTGCACAATGTTTGCGGTGAACCCATCTTTTACTATAACACAAATAGATTCGATGGTTTCCTTTTATGTGTGCTTGCTATATTTAGATTATATGTATATATTTTCCAAGTTCAAACCGCAAATGGAAATATTTTGGCTTCGAAACTTATTTATCGGGATCGTGAAAGCCAAATAAAAATTGTATTGGAGATTTTGAAGGAATACGTGGCAACATGATGATTTGTCCTTTAAACATTTCAGTCAAAATGATTGCTTCAAGAAACATCTTCGTTGATGTTTTTGATGACCGATGATATAATATAACGCAGAACATCAGCATATAAAAATTGTATTGCAAACTGGCCGAAAACATCAGGTTTTTGATCCAATGTGAAAAATGCAATTTATGCCGTTTTTGTTGACTCAAATGCTCGTTTGAAAGAATTTGCTTCAGTGAAATATACACGATGACCATTTTTAAGAAGTAATTCAAGAAGTTCATTCTCTATCTTTATTCTTGATATTACTTGTCGCAGATGTTCATTACACTGTCTTGGAGAAACTTGTGCATGACTATCTCTTGTTCTGATACTTTCGGTTGTTTCTTACCACAATTTGATGGGACGATTGAAGTTTTCTTTCAACACATTTGCGTTGTGAATCTCTAATACTCTCATTGTTGAGGTTACATTTTTTTTGGTGACAATTATAAAACCATGAAATTGCAGAATCGTAAAATTAAAAGCAAATAATAATACTCACACTTTTAAACGTTTTCGGTAGTACAATTTATTTTTACCAAGGTAATAATCAAAGTGTCAACCAGGTTATATATCTTAGACATTATACCAACCCTGTATCTTGTAATACACATTTAATTTGCAACAATTATCTAAAAATAAACAATTCCATAATGTAATATCAAAAGTTAAGAATACTTAGAATATTTTCATCATAGTTTAATATTAGGACTTTTTTATTAAATTTTACTTATTTTAACAGCCAACTCAACTAATTGTACTTAGATTAATTTTTAATAGTTTAATAAATCACTTTATCACAATTGGCATTAATTATTTACAACGTTATATCAACATCCATGCGTTAAATAGAGAGAGAAAAGCACTAAGGTTAGATCAATTGGTTGGCATGCAACACGTGTAAAACTACCCGTTTAGGGTTTATGTGGCTTATTGATAATTTTCTGTTTTTTTCCCAATATGAGGCTGCCTACTTCAAGGTAAAATATGATATATTAATAGATATTATCTTTGTATAGAATTTCATCAAAATTGGTTACGTAGATTCGGAGTCCATCGGACACATTCCATAAAACATATAATTTTTATATATTAAAAATATATATATATAATTTAAATACTCCTTACTCAATTATTATATTAGTTGTGAAATTATTCCTGTGAATAATAATTTTACTATTAAACAACTAATGACAAAATTGAAATAACCACAAAATACATACAAAATGATATATCACATAAAGATTGTAAAATAAAAAATTATTCGGATTATATGGATTTTGGGTGTTTGATTTTTTAAGTGTTTTTAGGGGTGTTACGGGTTCGGGTTAATTCGAGTGCGAAGCCCTAAATTATACGATTTTATACATTTGTTTTTTACGTCTGTCGACACAAAGAGCAGAAAAATTGCCCCAATCATTAATTTCTTTAATTTATTAGAAATTATGACTACTATTGCTATACTCGGGAGATCATTTTTTGTAGGGTTCGATAATTTTCCAAATAATCCAGAAAATCTAATGAAAGTATACAAAAAATCAACAAACTATACAGTATACCAATGTCTAGTTATATATATATATATCAAGCAGTGATAAATATCTTAAGAACTTTTGTTGAGAACAAAAAGTAACATTAATCATAATCTAGTACCTGTATTGTAACCTCGTCCCAACGAATTGTGTACGTGTATTATATATTACAGACTATAATACAAAAATACATGTTTGTACGATTAAAAAAAATATACATTACGTGATACTCATATCAATGTTAAGATTAAAAATCACCCAATCTTACCACTTTTATGGTGTGCAAAACTATTGTGCATTTAAAACTTTAGTTATTTCTTTAACTAAGTAATATCTATTAGTAAATAATAGATTAAATAATACTTAATAAATAATATGATAGTAATAATAATAATAATAAGAAGAAGAAATAATAAGTAATAATAAACATTTTTGTATTTAAGTAATTGTATAAATACAATTATTTCCCTATGAATAGTAATTTATAATATTGTTTGCAGTGATAACTTTGTCGATTGTACTAACGTTTTGTGATGATGAATTACATAAAATAGAATACTTAATATTTTACTATCTTTCAGAAGAAAATAATTTAAATCTCTGATATAAAAAGCTTAAATAATTAAAAATCGTAAAAAAGACTTTTCTCTTGTAAACAAACATTTCAAATATCGACATGGAAGCTAGAGAATTGCCTATTTAGAACGCCGTAAGAATTA